GATGGGGCCTTTATATAGGCACAAAATTATATCTAAGCCTAATCTACCTAGGGATCTGATATGGGATATTATATACACAAGGCCAAATCGGTCGGCTCAGCCGGTCGAGAGGGTCAAACTAAGAGGAAACCAAGACAAGATGTGGGAGGACCGATCATTTAGACAGTCGACCAAGAAGGTGGTCGACCAGTCCGTCGCACGATCCGTAAGACGATCGAGCAACCTATTCAACCTCAACAGGTCGATTACTTTGAGGACTTAACACCACGCTGTTTGGCGTAGTCATAAGCGCGTGAAGGAGCCTCTGACAGAATCCCAGGAGAATATTTACCCCATGTGCAGGGGGACACGTATCGAGAAGGCAGTGGTGGATAGCGATAACCACCTCTGACAGCCTACCCCATGTGAAGGCGGACACGCGTCCAAAGAGGATTGGTACAGACGATAGTGGCGACGGCTACCTCTGACACACGCGTTTGGTGTGTACGGATGGGCAGTTAGGGCAGACAGCTCATCAAATCCAGGCAGCCCTAGGTCAGGTATCTCACCCCTATATAAAGGGGTGAGCCTTTTTTCTTCAATACGATCATTCTACTACTTACTCTTGAGAATTGATTGAACATACACTGACTTAAGCTTCGGAGGCTCTTCACCGGAAAACCCCTCCAGTGTGAGAGTTCTTTGTAGGTGCACGACGTTCAACCGGCGAGAAGGAAGGCGATTATTCAAGTTCCAGCCGGTCGGGAAGTTTTGTGTTACCATTTGGCGCCGTCTGTGGGACTTTCGTTTAAGAAGTTGTGTTTGAAGCTCAGCTATGGCGGACGAAATCCCCAAAAATTTACAATTGACGTTCGACGACGCATGGACGACGAGCAGGCCATTTGGACAAGGCCTTCCTCCGGGTTTTTCTGGCCCATCCCAGACGCCGGTCACTCCTACGCTGGTTCTTCAAGGTGTAGGAGCGAAGATAGTGGTTCCCGAAGGAGATGCCGGCTCCAATCGTGCCCAGGAGATTCGCGCAGCGGATGCACCGCCGCCACAAAACCCAACTGTCGCGCCTCTAGGAGGAGCAGCGGCGCAACCAGGGGGAGCAACAGGACAAGAAGGAGCACCACCACAGGCAACAGTGCAAGTCCTCGGCCAGCAGGTGGTGATGACCAGGCAGGAGATGCAACAAATGGTGGCGGAGGCAGCTGCCCAAGCGGTGCAGCAGGTCACAAACAGTCTCTCTCGGGCCACAACGATGTCGAACACTGTTGCAGGGTCACGCCAAAATACGGAGGAGGATGAATCCAGCTATGGTGGAGGAGGGCCCACACATGACCGAGAGATGGAGAGGATGGCGGAACAGCTGCGCCAATTGTAGGCTAAGGTGGATGTTCGAGCAGAGAGACGCGCTCGAGGACACCCGTTCTCGGCGGACATACTAGCAGCACCCTTGCCAAATAATTACAAGGATACCAACTTGGTGTTCGATGGGACTTCTGACTCGTCGAGACACGTGAGGACATTTGAAAATATGGCTATGTTTCATGGATATACTGATCCCGTTAGTTGCAGGGCCTTCTTATCGACCCTTAGGGGAGGGGCGCTCGACTGGTTCCAACAGCTCCCCCCAGGCTCGAATGTGGACTTCGGGGATTTTGCGGAGAAGTTGACCAATCAATATTCGAGCGCGGTGGCTTAGGAGAAGACGTATTTGACGCTAATGGCGATGAGACAAGGCGAGAAAGAATCACTGCGTAAATATGTCGCTCGATACAATCAGGCTTGCTTGGAGATTCCGTCGGCGGTCGATGAGGTCAAGGCGAGAGGATTGATTAGGAGTTTGCGGGCAGGACCGTGTCGGACTTCTCTGGCGAAGACTCCTGCTCATACGTATGATGAGGTGTTGAGGAGGTGTAGGAAATATATTAATCTCGAGGAGACCGAGGCAGAGTTTGCCAAGCTAGAGGAGTTAGGTCGAGGGGAGTCGAGGAAGAAGAAAGCAGTTTCGCCTAAAAGGAAAGCCTCACCCAGGAGAGAGGGGCGAGCTAAGCAGGATCAAGGACGAGAGGACAGATGGAAGGACCGACCTATCTTTGGAGGGAAGAGGTTCCATGATTACACCCCGTTGAACGCGAAGATAGCTGAGGTCTTGATGGCTATGGAGAAAGGGATAGATGGGAAAGATGTGACGTGGCCAAGGTCGAGGTTAGAAGGGCCAACCCAACCGAAGTCGAGGAGATATTGCCGCTTCCACAAAGACTATGACCATACTACTGAGGATTGTCAGCATCTCAAGGACGAGATTGAGCGCCTTATTCGAGCAGGGCATCTCAAGGAGTTTGTCTATCAGGATAAAAGGAGGAGGAAGGAGAAGAGAAGGTGTCGGGAGGACTCGGTGGAGAGGAGCGAGGAAAATGATGATGAGGATGCACGAGATGGTCGGAAAAGAGATGAGCATAAAAGGAGGCGAGAAAGTAGGGAGCGGGAAAGAGAAGAAGATGGAGGCCAAGTGAAGAGAGGCACGATATATATGATTTCAGGAGGACTGACTGACGGGGACTCGAATAATGCGAGGAGAGGCCATGTTCGAGCAATAAAAAAGAAGAGAGAAGAGGTGAGTATCACGACCCGAGTACCAGAAATCAGTTTTCGAGCAGAGGATGCAGCAGGGGTGGTGGTGCCTCATAATGACGCTGTTGGGTTCTGTTAGGAACGTCAAACAACATGCACAGTATTGAACTTTATCG